ATTCCGTGGGTAGGGGATTCTATGGGAATCAATTGGTGGTCAGCTTCTCATAACTGGAAGAGCCCTTTGGGATCAGTAATGATGGTATAGAATCCAGCAAGGAGAGCAACAGTAGAGCAACTGCCCCAGCAGCAGCTCCAGACTTCCCATAGCACTCACACACCGAGGCTCCTTTTGAACACATGCACATCTTAATCACTCCCACAGTCATTAAAAACACTTCCGAATATTTCTGAAGCCAAAAAAAAAAAATAAAATAAAACAGAAAACGCAGAACATCACGGTATATATACTTATATAAGAAACCATATCCTAGGTGAGATAGCAAAAAAAAAAATTGATGTTTTAAGAAAAAAAAAAAAGCAGCTAACTCTGTCCTCTCCCCTTGCTGGGATGGGCTCTGCCTCGTTGCTCACTCTGCAATTAAATCTTGCACAGCCCTCCCTGTTCAGGGCACCGCGTGCCGCTCTCAGGCTGAGGCTTTGGTTTTTCTTGGAAGTTCCAGAACGTTCAACTTGCTTTTGTTTGGTTTCGTTTTAATTTCCTTCTGCTATTATTTTATATTTATACCGCACAGCCCTCGCTGCCTTCGCTGGGCAGACGAAGAACTTTGTAGCCTGGATGTTTTCCTAATGTACCTGCAGGCTTTCTTCTAGCATGTATTCATTTAGTATAATTTATCTACCGTGGATGCTTTACACATCAGTTATTTTTCCTAGAGGAGTGCTATGACTAAAACAATATGAAATGTCCCAGATGGTTTTCATAGAATTGTGTCACAGAGTGCTTTAGTTGGGAGGGATCCTTGAAGGCCAACTGGTCTCAGTCCTTGCAGTGAATGGGAGCACCCACAGTTTGATCTGGTGCTCAGAGTCCCATTCAATTGACTTTGGGTGTCTCCAGGGATGGGGAACCCAACACCTCTCTGGGCAAACTTCTTCCTTGTATCCCATCTAAATCCCCTTCTTTTAGTTGGAAACCTTGTCCTATCACAACAGGTCCTGCTAAAGGATCTGTCCCCTTCTTTCTCATCACTTTAGATATCAAGCACATAATTTCCCCTCCTTTTGGGCCATCTCTTTTCCTGCTACATAGCACATTAAAATCTGTTACGTATCTCTATATTAAAAGTTAAATTCTCATTGCTGTTTGCAGAGAAATACGAGCAAATCCAAACCATCAAGTATAATGTCTGGGTGAAACGTGTGCTTGAAAATGATGCTGGTGTAGTTCAGTAAACAGTGACTACTGCTTCCTAAGACAGAATTACATGTTTGAGGGCTGTGTAGCTTCAGATACATTGAATGTGGATGGAGCTGATTGCTCAGTGCAGAAGTCAATTGCCTCCCCTTTGGTTCCAAGCATCCCCAAATCATGGAAAGCTATCTGAAATCAATTCTGGTCAAACAGCATTTCCAGCTCAAGAGGAAGGATGTGTCTGAGGATATGACACTCAAATTCTGAAATGATGCCAGTTTTCCCAGTGAAGTTATCCTATTCACCTGTTCTCATCCCTGATCTGTGCTCTGTTGGATGTTTCCATTCATTAACACCTTTCACTCCTCACAGCACTGCTGTTATGGCACTTGCAAGTGCAAAGAGTAATCCTCACAGCAGCCTCCTACCTCTTGATGGCACACCGTGGATGTTAATGATAAAACTGATTCTGAAAAAAATTGTTTTTCAATAGGAAAACCTTCACACCTCTGATCTGAAGGCAAGTTTATCCTGAGGCCCATGTGAATGACCAGCAGGTTGAAATTCCACGTGCAATTCCTCCCTTCATTGGAAGGCTGTTGCCTTCTCCCCTTGGTAACTATTTCTTGAGAGCAATACTTTTGTGTGCAGCCACCCAGAAATTCATAAGGAGTGAAGAACAATTTTAGCAGAAAATGATCACTTTTAGAACTAACTTCTGCTAGTTTGACTAGAAAAAAATAATAAGGCCCTGCAAATAGCAAAACCCTCCAAATGGAAGAGTAATTACCTTAAATTAAGCCTTATTTCTGGTTTTAAAAAAATACCCACCCCATTCTAAAAGACTGGGAACATTAGTGTTAAATAGTGGCTACTTTATAGTGAAAGGGAAGGAAATAGATGGGAGGAAGGAAGGAAGAAGAGATTAGAGAATCTAATCCAGATGGAAATAGCCTCAGAGGAGCCACTATGTCCCAAGTCCTCTCATAAGGGAAGTGTTTGCACCAAAGAATCTGGTAGCCTGAATGAAGGATGACCTCACTTATTTATTTAGTCAGAGCTGAGCAGCTTTTTTTTTTCAGATGTCAAACTAACCTCATGCCACAAGCATTAAACTTCTGGCAACGTGATAAAGATGTCTGTTCAATTTAGGGGCTTGATAACCACTAAATAAATACACTTTAATTCCTTGGCTGAGAGCAGCACATCTTAAGTTGCCTGGAAGGCAGTGGAGAAATAAAAGCTCAACCTGAAGGCTGATACCAGAAACTCAGTCTGATGTGGAAGCCTTCAACAGGGAGGTGCAAGAATTTGGGTTTGTGGCTCAGTGAGGAAATGGGGATCCTTCCCTTTGGTATGGAGATGATGGCATTACTCTTGCAGGCACCAAAAAAACAGTCTGGGGGCTGCATAGATTCTTGAGAAAGAGGGAATTTCAATAGAGAGCAGGAAAAAATGCCAACTGGAGCTGCCAAAACATGGCAAAAAGGGATTCACACTACAGCTGCCCCACTTGGGATGGCTGTTTGTGGCACAAAGGGATTCTCACCATCACTGAGAGTGTTCAAGAACTGTGGAGATGTGGCACTGAGGGTCATGGTCAGTGGGGATGGGTTGGGGTTAGACTTAGGGATCTTAGAGGTCTTTTCCAACCTGAATTGTTCTGTGATTGTATGAAAGCATCACTTGGGCTGGCTTTCCCAAAAATATGGGTGAGGTAAAGGTGGGCTCCCAGTACCTGCCTAGCACAGGACTTTCAGTCTGTTCAGATGTACACTATGCTCAATCCAAACTCAAGCTATGTATAAGTACATTCCATATTAATTTTAGACCTGTTTACTACAGAAAAGTCATTCTGTGCTCCCATATACTTTGCTCATCGATGCAACAAGCTAATTACAAGTTAATATCATGTGGCTAAAACAGTATGTGATTATTCCTTCTGCTTTTCCTCCTGTATTTCTCAGGGCATTGCTGTGGAGCTCTTGCACGAGATGCTGCCTGGGTCTGGGATGGATGGAGTGACACTCTTTGTAATTATAGAGCTCAATCTCAAGCAGAACCATTGGCACTTGGTGGATTTCAGCTGCCTGTGAGGTTATCTTTCACTGAATATAACAACAGGTGTGTTTGGGCCTTACAAAAATCCCTTGGGAGGGTGTGTTACTCTGAGTTTGTCCCATGGATGCCACGTGCCTAGGAACACAATTCAAAGTGAGCCCATAAAATTGGCGTTTCCAGTTTCCTCTGGGTATGCAATGAATACTTTTGTCTGGGAGGAACTGGGAGTGCATAGATTTGGTGTGAAAGACAAAAGGAAATTTCCTGCAGATGCTCATTCTCAAATCTCTGGTTGATGTGGCATTGCCCATGTTCAGCACGGCCCTTGGGCCCTAAGAAATGCTTCCAGCAAACACAGACAGGGTAAATTCAAGCACCTCTGTATTTCTGTCCTGTTCTGGGTGTTCTTGTAAATGCTTTTCCAGTGCACAGAGATCTGGTTGTAAGGCAGAAAAGTGCAAAATTCTGAATGGCAGCTTAACAGCAGGATACGTCTGCACACCTGGTAGAAGAGAATGCATGGAAGTTTTTGGTGTTTTTCTTTTCTTGATGGTTTCCTTCTTTTTTGGTTTGGTTTAACGATTGTTTTTTTGGGTTGGTTTTGTGGGGTGATCTTTAGGGAGAAAGATGTTGGTGTCTCACTTGCAGCAGATCCTTCATCTGTGAAAGACCTGCAACCAGCATACGTTCATGGGCTTTGTTTTTTAAGGAAGGTGACCTTTTACATTGCCTTGGGCATCGGTCTACGTTATTATCTTAAAAACTGGCTGCTGCTTTGCAGCTCTTGTTTGGTGTCTTTCAGTGAGAGAAATGTGAAGCAATGAGGGATGTGGTGAGTGGGCATGGTGACGATGGGTTGGGGTGGGATTTGGGGATCTGCGAGGTCTTTTCCAACCTTTATGATTCTATGATTCTAACCAAATGTCAATCAAGAGTTCTTGACTGAAAGTCAACGGCCTTCTTGGGTTTTTCAGTGGGTTTACCAGGTTGTGAACCTGTGAAACAGTGTTACTGGGAGGAGGTGGGGAGCTGAAATCTGCTGAGCTGCTCTTTCCTGGGGAGCAGAAATGAAAATGGTGACATGGGGCTCTGAGCTCCACATCTGCCCAAGATGGTATTTCCATGAGAAATATCATGCCCAAAGATGAGAAGCTCCAATATGGAGTGCCCTTAGAGAACTGTCATTTATTAATTGGAAATTAAGGATCTTGGTGCTCTGCATCAGAGAAATGTACATCCCAGGCTGGAGCCAAGCCCCAGTTCTGTAATTCACTGCCTTTACAGCAAACAGCTCCACACTGCAGCTGAAAATCAATGAGTCTTCCCGTAATTAATCATTGTTTCTACTTTATTACCAACGTATTTAAAATTCAAAATAACAGACTAAGATTTTTCAAGCAGTATAACTTCTCATTCTCTACGAGGGAAAAACCGTTGCATAAATAATTTTTGAGACAAAATAAATACATAATTCACTCTTTGAAACAATAGCTTTTCTCTCTAGATTCTGTGTCCCACATAAAATAACTGCAAAATCCATACTCAACATGGCAAGTTGCCATGGTTGATATGATCTCTGCATAAGCTCTACACAGAAAATAAGAACAGAGAGGAACTGTCTTTTATCCCAAGTTGTGTTCATCTGTTTCTAGGGCTAGCACTTCTACAGGATATGTACAGCGTGTGGCTATTCGCTTCCCAGTAATATTCTTTAATGGAAAACACAAACTTTAGTCTGAACGTTGAGAAGTTAAGTAGAGTTGCTGTTAAAACTAAAGATGTACCAGAGCTGCACAAAATACTAAAGACTTTTCTAAAGGAATTCATGACTTTCAGATTAGCAGAGGCCCACTTCTCATGCAGAACCCTTCTCCCAGAACATGGCTTGCACAGTCTTAGCTCTACAAGGAGTATGGCCAAGTAATTCAAAGGCTACAGGACAGGAAATGTACACTGAGATATCTAGGTTGATACTGAAGTCAGTTGTGTACTAGGAAATAAGGACTAATCAGTATTTTCTTATGTTAAATTATGCACATCATTAGCTGCTTACAAGACAAACATCAGTGAGGTTATCTCTCTTGAGAGGAGCATCCATGTCATAAAACTGCTTCCCTTAGGAGAACTCGCTTAACTGGTCCTAACTCAAACCCTTGCTCCTAAAAGAAAAGGATGGTTTGGCTGTCAACTCTCAGTTCTGGACCTGTTGACCCTACAGCATTCTAATTAGAAGCGTGACATAGATTGGTCACGCTTATGAGAGCACAAATGTCATATTTTGGTTTTCTTTCTCAAAGGAAACCACTTGGGCATGAGGACACCTGGCAGAGGACATTCCCTTCTGGCAGCCTGGCTCCAGCTGAGACCCAGCCCCAGCCTCCCCATCCCCAACATCCCCAACCCAATGGGACTGCAATGCCCCACCTCGCTTGTCCTGCACCACGGGGTTCAGAAAAGGGAAAGTGATGTGGCATTCCTTCCGTGTCCAGCAAGCAGAACGACTCCTAACCAGGTGTGATGTGCCTGTACCCTAACAGCCTCGCCTCCCTCTCCTTGCACAAACCAGGTGGCCTCATGCTGACCCCCAGGGTGTCCCCTCCTCTCAAACTGAACGTAGCTGCTGCTCCCACCAGCTCGGTTTATCTCATTCTCTTATCAGACCATAACCGCTATCATCTGATGGATTTTGACTATGTGAGCCTTAGACCCAGCGTAGCAGAAGGAATTGGAACCACCTGCAGTCAGACCCTCGTGCTCGGCCTGTGCGTGCCGTTGTATATGGTATAAAATATCCAGAGCTGCTGGGCTGCATCACTTGGAATGACCTCCTAATAGGCGTTTTCCAGCTCGTGCTGGTTCGGTTTGCTGCTCCTGGCTCGGGACAGACGTGACTTCTTGTTCTTCTGCGGCCTGGCGGGTTCCTTCCCAAAGTCCTTCAGCTCGGACTGGTTGTGGTATCGAGTGTATCGCTTGCACTTGCAGGCTGTGACAGCTCGGAATTTGTAAGTCCGAGTCTCATCATCGGGACACGCCATCTGGATGCGCTGCGTGCGGGTGTGAGCCGGGATGCAGCGATAATCCGGGGAGTTCTGCCTCCACCACTTCCCTCTGCCGATGGAGTTGGGCAGGAGGTGGGATGGGACGCACTGCCCCGAGCACACCAGCTCCTTCACGGGCTTCAGGCTGCGGCACGACCCCTCCGTCACGTAGCGGGTGATGCGCATCTCTCTGCAGCTGAAGTCGGAGACATCTGCAAAGGAAAAGGGCGTTAGCGTGTGATTGCTGCCTTCCCGTCCCATTCCCATCCACATCCAAGGGAGCCATCAGCTCTGAGCCCTCAGCGTTGGGAAGGATGTGGAGATGTTGGAGAGGTCGTGAAGATGCTCAGAGGTTGGAGAAGCTCTCCTATGGAGTCAGGTTGAGAGTTGGCATGGAGAAGAGAAAGCTGTGGGGAGATGTTGTTGTGGCCTTCCAGTACTTAAAGGGGGATCATAAGAAAGATGGAGAGTGATTTTTACACTGATAGTCCTTTTGTCCTGATTGTGACAGGACAAGGGGGAATGGTTTTAAACTAAAAGAGGGGAGATTTCAATCAGATGAGAGGAGGAAATTCTTTGCTCATAGGGTTATAAGATGCTGGCACTGCTGCCCAGAGCAATGGGTGCCCCATTTCTGCGGGTGCCATGGCCATGGATGGGCAGTGGGCTGCCTGAGCTACTGGGGGCCCACTGCCCATCCATGGCCATGGGCACATGGCAAGAAGGGTGGAGCTGGATGGGCTGTAAGGTCCCTTCCAACCCAAGCAAACTGTAATTCAATCACCTTGAATGATGGATTTGAGGTCTCCAAAGATGCTAAGGCTGCTCTAGTTGTGAGACCCTTGAATCACCATGGATATGTTGATGAATCCACGCCTGCCCCCACCACAAGGCAAACCCCACGCAGGGCTGTGCTGGTGAGCACTGAGCTCATGGGTGCCCAACACCAGCACTTACTCTACTGGGAGTTCCACTGGCTTCATTTACCATGGACAAAGCCTTCCCCAATGCTCTGGTTCAACTCTATTGACCTCAGAGGTTCCCTGCAGATTTAAACTTTTCTGCAGAAGGGAAGTTTTCCTTAAGTGTCTCTGAGCTAACATTCCTGGTGAGGGAAATCAGCAGTGCTATGGAATTTCCACTCTTCAGTCATAATGTTCTCTAAGTTTATTGCTTTCTGTGGTAATCCCACATCTTTTCCTTTCAGAGGCACCTTTCAGATGCTTGGGAACTTTGTGGGGTATTTTCCCCCTTATTTTTTTCCTATTGGATAACTGTAGATAAATGAAACATTGGGAAATAGAAATCTTTTAGCGTTCAGGATTTAGGCAAACTTTCTCATTGTAGGAATTGCCCTTTCTCAAACGTGTCTCTTTTGCCACTTGGGATGCTCTGCTACTTGACCTGCTTGCAACACACAGAATTTGATTTTTGAAGATGTTTATCAAACAACTCCATCTAGAGGAACACACGGTAATGTTCTTCTCTTAGGGAGAAGGTATAATTTTGAGTCACAAGCACGACTTGTGATGGAAATCCTCAGCTTACAAATGGAAGCCTGAGTCTGCCAGTCCTTTCTGTGCATATGTCACCTGCCCTATACATGCACAGAGTGCACAGGCTGCAAAATTATTGATGCTGTTCTGCATCCTCGTGTGACCCTGGAAGGTCTGGCTGCTTTTGGATCAGCATTTCCATTCCTTATGTTAAAGACACAAAAATAAGTATACAAGACTATTGCATACCCTGATACGTGTCCAGTTAATACCCTTTACTCCCTCCTTTTCACCCCAAACCCCATGCACGTTTCAGTGGGATGGACCCCAGTGGACATCAGTGAAGTCAGAGGCTCCAAATGAGGATTTGCAGATGTAAGTGAACCAACCTGCCTTGAGTTGGGGATGCGGGGCTGCCTGCAGGAAGCACAGTGCTCCCTTTGGGGAATTTCAGACCTCTACGAAGCAGCACTCAAGAATATCATTAGTTTTTTTCTTTTAATATTATCTGATTTTAACCTCTGGATGTCCCTTCCGACCCCTGTGATGGGGTGAGCTGCTATGTGCATTTGGCAGCCTAATGCAGGTCTGAAGGACTGAGTTTGCCCTGTTTCCAGAAGTACTCCCTCTAAAACTCCTTTGCTCTCTCTGCCTTCCATCCATCCTCCCAAAGCTATGTGCATCATTGTGAACATCACACATTTGCCCACATGCAGTAAATCTATTGAGCAGCCAACCTACTTCCAAACCTCTGCCAAAGAGGGTCCTCTCCCATTCACTTGGGCATGAATTCCTTCTGGAAGTGCTCTAACTCCTGTTGCCTCTTGCAGTCCAGCCAAAAATCCACTGTTAGCAAAGGACACGGAGCAGCACAGCTCACCCAGCTGAGCACCACTTTTGCTGGGGGTCTCAGACCCCACCACCCCGATTCCTCCTCAATACCAAGAAATCAGTCTTTAATTCCCTTCCACACCTATTTGACTAAAAACCAGCTTCTGATAACACCTGATCTCTTGCAAACTGTTAGGGTCCCAACCAGCAATCTAACGTGATTTGTCTTACCATTAGGGTCCGGAGTTTGCTGTATGTGCCTTCCCCCGTGTTTTGCCTGGTTCATCGTGTTGTTGTTGCTGTAAATCTGCTCCATGGGGGTCTCTGTATTTTCGGTGATCTCAGGGATGATTTCTGTCGCATCATTTTTGAACACTTGCCACCCTCCAGCTGCCCGGGATGCGATTTGGATGAGGACGCAGACAGAGCACACAGCCCAAGAGATCTGCATGGTGGCAGCTCACGGGTCGGCTCCTCAGCACCCTGACAGCCTCAGTTCCCAAGCACAGGCAAATCGTTCCCCTTTTTTAAATCCTTTTTAGAACCAAGCCAGCCAATGGCTGTCCAAAGTGGGAAGGGCCAGACAGCAACTCATTCATCTCAGCTTTTGTCAGTGTGAAATAGAACGGTGTGCGTGGGGGTGGTTTGGTTGACAGGACTCTACAACTTCCACCTAAAAACTCCTCGTGTTGTTGGGTTTTGTGTCTGGCAGCAGTGCGGGTTGATGGGAGCAGCGTTGCACTGCAAGCCCCACTTTCTCTACAGTTTTTGGGGTCTGACATCTTGTGTCACAAACGCACCGAAAGAAACAGGAAAGAGCTTCCTTCCAAAATGAGAAGTTGCTTTATTTAACAGAAATCAGCTCTGAGGAGTGTGGCTGTCGGGGCAAGCAGCCAGGTGCTGCTTTCTGAGGTGCTCTCCCTTTTTTTTTTTCTTCCTCCCTTATTTTCAATGCGTGCACAGTGGGATCACTGCACGCTGCTCCTTCTGCTGGTGTTTTGCACAAGGGTTGGGTGCAGCACATGAGATTATTTTAAACACAAGAACATGGCCAGGCTGATTTCTGTGCATGATGCAACTAAGGAAAAGATAGAGATGATGCCCTTATGCCCAAGGCAGCTATGCCAAAGTGTTATTAATGCAACATGTTCCAAAATCTCATTTATGGTATTCTTTTTTCCTTGCAGAATTGAGATGATAATGGGGAGAGTTGGGCGATTTCTGCATCTCAAGGCCACAAATATTTCTGTGGTGCTTACAGATGCTATCAGGCTCAATACATCAATCAGGAAGAGCCCTTCAGTGAGGTCAGACCCTGTGCTGAGCTCATCACAGCTACTGAAAGCAAATGTGCATTCAGAGCAGTGAAGGACACTTGTGCACGCTCCTGCAACGTCTGTCGCATCCATCCCCATGCATGTAGAAGAGAGATTCCAAAGTGATTCACCGAGCTTCAGCAATGTGAAACATTACTCAGAATGTCAATAGCAGCCTCTGAGTTCTCCTCTGCCTCCGTGAGGGCTGGGAGCAGTTGAGGCTGTCTGGTTTCCCCCTGTTCCTGTAGGGAACTCGTTACCTAAGGCTTGCATTCCATTCCAGCCATTCCCCTGCCCTGGCACAGAAAACAGGTGTCACCAAACGTGAAGCGGAGGTGTGCTCTCCTGTTGGCTGACCCTGATGATAAATAATCCATCCAAACAGCAGTGATGACCTGAGGCCATTTCACCTTTTTGCCCTTCCACACCCCCAGACACGCACAGCGTTTGTGCGCTGAGCTGGGGGAGCTTCAGCCTCACTGCTCCATTCAATGGGCTGCAGCAGCACAACTGCATTTCTTTCAATTAAGAACGCCTCTTCCACCCAAAGCAGTTGTGATGTGAATGGTGATGGTCTCGCAGATGCCACAAACCCAAATTCTGAGGCGTTGCAAAGGTTTTTTCCAACTGTAACTTTTCTCAGTTCCAAATCAATGTTTTTGGATTCCACATCCATGCAGGGAGGAATGTTGTATTGGAGCACCTTGGGAGCAGCCACCGAGGGAAATGCATTCTGAAGAAATGACACCAGAGTGGGTATTTTCCATGCAGGATTTCTAGCTTTTTCTTTGAAAACAAGCTGGGCTATGGTGCATAATGAGTTAAGCTTGAAATCGTGTGTGATGATCTCTTGGGCTCTACTTGCAAGTCTTCTAATAGAGCCCTGTGATTTCTTTTGTTTCTTTAATTGTTTTAGAAGTAAGGATGATGGGAACCAAAGTGTGTGTTTAGTCAGGCAGGGACACCACCAGCTCAGCAACCTTCTTCAAAGTGCTAAAGGGCAACACGTGGCACAACAGAACGCAGCCAAGGGATGAATGGGAGAGCCCATCATCAGTGAGCACTGCTGACTGCTTCTCAGGGGAAGTTCTGTGCTATGAGAGTGGTGAGGTGCTGAACAGCTGCCCAGAGAGGCTGTGGATGCCCCGTCCATCCCTGCAGGTGTTCAAGGCCAGGTTGGATGGGGCCCTGGGCAGCCTGGGCTGGTGTGAAATGTGGAGGTTGGTGGCCCTGCGTGTGGCAGAGGGTTGCAACCTGATGATCCTTGAGGTCCCCTCCAACCCAAGCCATTCTATGATTCTTACCCTATTCAAATGTGTTCAGAATGGCATAACTTTGTCTATCAAAGTTCAGTTTGTGTTAATTTCTGCACAGAGAGCATTTCCAAAAGTGATCAAGAAGCGCATTCACAACATTGCATTGTCAAGAAAAGATGGAAAAGTTTTCTTAAGGTTTCTCTGTGCACTTGAACGGTGCCCTCTCTTAAACTGTCTGAACATTTCTCTGTATCACCCGCTGGGAGAAGCAGCAAGCAAAACTCTGAAGGTGAAAATGAGAAGCTGCACTTTGCCTCTGGCACAAAACCTCAGCAAGGGCAGCCTGACAGCAGCAAGAAAAGAATCCCAGGGACGTTCAGATTCCTTAACTACAAACGCATTCTTCTACGTCCTGTAGCTGCTTGCCTGCTCACAGCACAGCAAGCATGGACAGTTCAGGCTGCAGCCCCCAGGAACAATTGATTTTTGCTCTGTTAATGAAGCACAAGAGATAAAAAAAAAACAACAAACGTTTGTGATTTCTATCAAGGACACTTTGAGAGTGCACTGAGTTTGGGTTTGCTATAATGGGAACTGAAAAAAATCCCCCCTTGGACTCGTTAAGGATCAGATTTGTGCTTCTGTGCTTCCAGGATATGCATTCCAGGGGTGCAGGCAGAGGGGGTAAAATAGCATCATGTACTCATCCTGAATCCCTGGCTGCTGCTTTCTAGGCTCTGGATTTTGTGTCCTGCTGTTGTCTCTCTGCCCTTTGATGGCATCTGCATAACCCAGTTGTTGCAGTCGGTTCTGCCATGTGATGCTCACCACGGCCCTCCCTGCACCAAAGGGGGGTTCTGTGGGGCATCCACACCCACAGGGATGTGCACAGCCTGAGCTCTATGAACTCTGGCCCATCACCTACAGGCTGCCCCAGCAATTCTGAAAGACTCCCTTGCTTCCCTAGCAGTCCTCTCCCCAAAATACTGCTGAGCTGCCCATGCCTGAGCCCTGTTCTCCCCCAGGGATCCTGCAGACCCCTTCTGCACCCACCAATCCCAGTGCTACAGCGTGGGCTCCTCTAATTCATCAAGAGCAAACGGATATGTATCGTTTTCCCACCAGAGATCAGCAAATGTGCTGCTGAATGGTTCTGGCTGCTTGTCTTGCTGGTGCCAAGACATCAGATTCACAGCTTTGGTCAGGGATGGAATGAGGACTGCTTAGTGGGGAACAACGAGCCTACAGCTCCATCTGGTGAGTCAGCTGGCCAGCTACCTTGGCAGGGAATTCAAATATGGAGAAGAAAACACAACAAAAACCAACCAAAAAGCCCTCAGCTGAATTACTCCCACAACTTCCACTTACAGGGCTTGTTTCCAAAACAGAAGAAATGAATACGTTGTCCAAAAAATAAAAACTGGAATATAATCATTGCCCATTCAAAAGTTACAGACAGCAATTAAACACAACTGGCTCCAAAAGGCAGCAGCTCAGCCACCAGCTCAATGTCAGGTCAGTGCCATCAAACCTTCCCACATCACTTTTTGTTCCCATATATACATAGATATAAATATATTACATGCATATATTTATATATTTAGCACTACTTACTTTACATTTAAAAAGGAACTTTTGAGCTCCAGGTATAGAAGAATGTGTTGGAGAAAGAGAGGGGCTGTGAAAAGGGAACTGGGGAACTGCTGTCAATGCCTTTGACCTTTATATAATGTTTATAAAGTTTGATTTTTATGTAAGATGTCAACAGCAGTTTCAGAATGGTGTTCTAGACTTCCAAATCCAACTCCTAACAAAAAAGCAACAGCAAATGCTCACCTGGGTTCTGCATTGTAATGCCACGCACAGGATGCATCTGCTGTATGAGGAATAAAGACACTCATTCTCACCCCCTGGAAGATGCTTCCTCAGGGCTGTGACCAAAACAAACCACTGCTTCCATCTGTAGCAGATTTAGTTAGTGCTGCACAACAGAAGTGGGAACACTTTGGTGAGGAACATTGCTGATATGGTGTGTGTGCTGTCCTTGCCTTGTTCAGCAGGAGGATGGGTCGGATGCCAGTGCTGTTCCAGCTCAAGGAGCACATACACACAGTGCTTTGATCTGCAGGGCATTGCTGGAAGATGCATTTTCCTGGCACTGGGAGGTAAGGCAGACATACACATCTTTAGGAGCAAAATGTGTCCAACACTTACACGAGCTTAAAGGGAATTACAACACAACGTATTACAGCTGCCAGTCTTGTCTGAAGGTGCTGTTAACTCTAATTTTGAAATAACTTTGCTAAGTGTGTCCAATTGCAATGCTCTCTTGGAAAGCATTCAGCATTAGCATAGAATCATAGAATGGCCTGGGTTGAAAAGGACCACAGTGATCATCTTGTTTCAAACCCCTGCTATGTACAGAGTCACCAAACACCAGACCAGGCTGCCCAGAGCCACATCCAGCCTGGCCTTGAATTACTTACAGCTCAGAAGAGCCTATTAGACACAAGATTGTCACCGCCAACAGAGCAGGATGAGGACAGCACTCAGAAAACACAATTTTTCCTCTGGATCGAAATTCTGAGTTGGAAACTTCCCTCGGGTGCTGATGGCTGAGATGTAGCTCAGATGGATTCATTTTTGCATATATCATCATTTCAGGGGGATGATTATCTATGTGAACATCCTTCTTTGTTCCCTGCTGTAAGATAAGAGCTCCTCGCCCCCGCTCCCCCCTACCTTCCAACTTCTCTAACTGAGCAAAAAAAGCCCAAACTGCTGCATCTCTTTCACTGTGCTGGATTTGACATGGCAGGTATCTTTGTTCTATGATAGATGTGGATTTTACAGTCCCTGCTGAACCTCAAACACTGCTAAAATAAAGATTTTTCTGAGTCACCTATCAGTTCCTTACCACAGGATCTACTGTTTCAGTGCTTTAAATCAATTGCTAAGAGAGTCTCCTTTATTTTCCTCCACCCTCATGTTACAAAACGTTTGGTACAGCAGCTTAACAGTGTCTGTCCTGTGATTTTTTTATAGTGAGGCGAATACACAGAACTGGATTTGGATTCAGGTGGATTATTAATACAAGTGTTACCAGGCAAAGCAGCGTTAGGATTTTAAATCTAGACCTACATTAAAACACAGCTAAAAAGGGATCAGATCTCAGGGTTCTGATAGCCAACAATTCTGAGGCTGCAGAGGGAGACTTTTTGCATTAACAGCACTGCAATAACTGACAGGCACACACAGACCCCCTTGAGCAGACTGTGAACAAAGCTCCCTCTCCCATCATTGCAACGACTCATTTCATCTGCATGTCCAACAGAATCAAGGTATGATTTATTTTGATAGAAAGGAAATGCTTTCTGTTCCACGTGGCGTTGTAACAATGTTTGTTTCTATTGAATGGAGCCATGCAAATAATTCAAGTCAGAGTGTACCAACAAAATGCTCTGGAAGCACACCTGTACTACAATGCTGGAAGAAATCTGTAGGTATAATCTTGCTATTCCACATTAATAAACAGCAACAGCATAAGGACAGGGAGACTGTGGTTCAATACAAACCTCAGAAGCCATTCCATTCTGATACTTCACGCTTTATCACACACCCATACAAGCACTCCTAAGTACAGCCATTCTCCTTCCCTTGCTGGAGTTCTTTTCTCAACATTTACTCCGCATTTTCTTTAGAGTGTGAGTTTATAGCAAAAATAAACTTTAATATCAGCCTATTTCACGTCAATCACAACAGCGAGTGGTACAAATAGTTTTGGAAATACAGTGTGCATCAAGGTCAGGCTCTGAATGGCTTTACTACCACACACTGTGTATTGCATATAATCCACACCGAACACAAGGCTGCATTCTTCTTTTTACAAGAGTGCATCTGTGCATTTGCATATATGCTGCTCCATTCCTTGAAGCTCCTACACTCAAACTCGAGGCACCTGTGTGCATGAAAAAGAAGCTTTAGAAAAAACACAGTACTTCAATGAAGAGCGAGAGATGTATGGGGGGCTCTCAGCAAACAGTGCTCTGGTGGAATAAAATACAAAGCTTGAATGAGGCAACGGGATGTCAATGCAAAGCCATGTTATAAAGCCTGCAAAGGGGCACTGAAATGTGTGTGAACAGCTGTTCTCACCCGAGCCACCCCTCTAAAGACACCTCGACATTGCAACAAACTCCAGCAAGTGACACAGCGTTGTGCCATCTTGAAAGACAGACCCACAGTTTGAGAAAGATCCCTTCAATAGACCAGAGCAGGAATTCTGTCTCCCTCACACAACGTGACTTAGCTTGGCGGTTGGGGGGGTTGGGAATCGAAAGCACTTAATATATCCTCTGATGGTTTGAGAAAACACCCCCAAAATACTACAGCGCTCTGTTTCAGGGCTTCACTTTGCCTTCCTTCACTAACTGCTCGTTTAGCTGACAAAGCTGCCTTAGAAAGCCATCATTAGGGCCAATCTCTCTCTTTTGTCGGACAGTGACCAAAGCAGACTTGACATCCATGTTCTGGCGAAGCATGAGGTAGGCGATGACCAGCGTAGGAGAACGGCTGTAGCCCTCACGGCAATGCACAAACACTTGTCCTGCAGGGAAAACAGGTCACAACGTGGGTTATAATGGAACAGAGGATGGAAATGCAGCATGAAATAAAGCGCAACAATCAGTCCTTCGGTACCCTGAGGACTCTGAGTTGGGAATTCTGATGGAGATACGTAAAACTTGATGCTATCACTGATAGCTGCTACAGTCTGTCGTCATGGATAATGCAGAATTAATAGTTCTACATCACTCACACTACAACAGTGCTGCTGCATTATGAAGGCCAGCCTGCGTCTCTCTATTTCTCCGATCTCTATTTGAGGATGTCTTGTACCTAAGGATGACTGGGTACCAAATCAATGATGCACAGTTTAAAATACGCTGCAGACAGATGCTGTTTGTTATATACTGCATCTCTTCACACCCACCCTTCTGGCTGCTCTGCTGTCAATTCCCATGGTAACTCCGTGCTGGATCATACCTGGCTGCTTGTCTGGCTCTTTATGAATCACACTAATGCTCAAGTAAAAGAAACCACTAATTATGCAATAACAAGAACCAGAAGTACCTTCTGCCAGCACCAATGAAAAAGCTTCCAGCTAACTGATTAGGGAAAATTATTCCCATGTTTATTGGAAAAATGCTGACAGTTGGCATCCACCAATAATTAAGCAGGCTGCTGCTCCCTCTGAGAAACCTAACTCATTTTTATTGCTTCTCAGCTGCTTCCTCTTTGCCCTGCTTTTCCAGACACAAAATACAACCCCAGGCTTCCCCTCCAGAGTAAATTCTTTCCTGAGACCACAGAACAGATGAACCACACGTAGACTTGCTGAGGCCACGACAGGAAGCCTGTCACCATATTTGCCTTGAGCTGCATATTCTGCTCAGCTCCAGGCAAACCTCTAATCAGAAGCCAGTCAAACAGCTAAAACAATTAATTCTTTACATTTCCTGAGAGCCCGCAGCCATGAATGAGTAGGATTCAAAGATTCTTAAGCACGTAGAAGAGAACTGACTTCCTTTCTACAGTCAGAAGCAAAAGGGTTTCTGGCCTTCCTCTGTGAAAGGCAGTGAGAATCCTGGGCTGACCTGGGTACAGCAGCCCTGCCTTCACTTTGCTCCCCTCCAGAACCTCATGTAGCAACAAAGCTAAAATGAAACTGCAGGAGAGAACAGCACTGCATCCCTCATCACTTCCCTACTGCTTTTGCTCTACTCTTCACTGTCAAAAAAAAAAAACACCCAATCCTATCGTATTTAAGTAGTGAGTTAATCTTAAACCTGGCTCCACCACCACCCAGCTACAAAGTTCTTTTGTTTCCCAGGGCAGGAGAACAGCAGCAGTCACAGGAGGCAATATTCAGACTGAAAGAATGGCAAAGTAGAAGCGCTGCTCTCAATTCTCATCAGCTCAGCTGAAGCTGGGGGGCACAGCCACAGCACAGCTGGCCTTGCTAAACACCTCTTCCAACTGTAGCCTGTACCAGTGGGTCACAGAACTAACTGCAAGAGCTGTCATTTAACTCCACATCACAGCTCCAGCTTCCCTTTTGCCCACTTCAGGGCAATGGAACTGTGGGAATCCTCATTCCTCTCTGCTCACATTTAGTCCTGAAGCAAGAAAGAAATGAAGCATATGTAGAAACGAGTGGTATGCTGCAACAATCAGAGCAGAAGCACTGTCTGACCCACTGCACTATGCCCCAGGATTTCTGCTCTGTGGAAACACAGTAGAGAAATGTGGCAATCAACAGCATTTCACCCATCATCTCCAGCCTTCCTGGAAACCCAAGGACAAATGGGGTAATTGTCACATCAAATAATAATAAGATCATAGAGACAGTCTCTATCCTTACTGTGTATCTGGAAAGCAAACATACAGCAAGTTCAGCAATGCATTACCTGCATCATTTTTGCCTTCCAATGCTGTAAAACTACTTTTAGATCCTGTATTCACTTTCTGAGGCTTTCCATCTGTCTAAGGAATAATAAGGGCATGTCTTCCCAGACAGCCACTACTTCAGGATGCAGCTGCTGTTTCACTTTGCAAAGTCATCCCTAAAATGACAGACTTCCACTTAACATAACCTGGAGGTCCACATACACAGAGAGATGACTAAGATGTTTTGTTGAGTATTCAGGTGCCTTTGATGCCAAGACTTGATCTGAATCACTGGTTTGCCCGTCCAGCTGAAAATCTGAGCAAAGAACCGTTTTAAGCAGTGAAATAAAGAGCTAAACCATACGCAGCGTACAGAAAATAAGGCAGAAAGACATTTCAGTTTGCCTTACCATCCTTCTGGGAAAGTGCTTTCTCAATAAAATCAGCTGCCTCCTCAAAATATCGACTGAGGTTAAATTCCTGCGTATCGTTAGCTTTAATGCCATGGTATGTGATGCCTGTGCCTTCATAGAATTCTGCATTAGTGTTCACATGCATGAATGACTTCCCCTCTGCTGCATTCAGAACATGGGTTATCCCCAGGCGCTGCAGCTTCATAATGTTCTTGGCTATGAACCTGCGTGATAAAAAGTGTCAAGAAAATGATTAGAACTCGGTGTCTCGGTATTCATGACGTCCCCAAAAGCTGCTGATAACCAAAAGGTTTCTTTTTTTTTTTTTTTCTGCTCAGGGGTGCTAAATACGTTCGAATCAGCTAAAGATTTGACAGGCAGAAATTATGTAGAGCCTTGGTCACTCCTTGAGTGTCAGAGAATGCTCCTTTCCTGGCTGGGAGCCGAACAGAGAACACTGAGACTTTAATCCTCTGCTCCCTACGATGGCACAGTTATAACTCTGAACATCAAACTCTGACCCAGCTCAGAAAATTTAGGAGATAACAGAAACGCCTGGGTAATTGCTCCTATGATGAACCGCTTTCTCCGTACTCTAATTTAAGAAGCAGTTACAAGCAGCCTCTGCTGGCAGCCCCCAGTGCTCCTTCTCAGGCCACGGGAATACAGAAACACAGAGAGTAAGATTTATGTTATCACGCTGTGTGGACAACGTTCACATAATTCAAGGCTTTATGAACATCCAGAGCATTCCTTGTCTCCTAATGACCGTTCACCCCTTAAATGATCCTTATGCACGAATCCTTATGCACGAGTGAAGTTTCTCTATCTTCTCTCTGGTGCCAAACGACCGTGGCAATGGGCCAAGTATTTGTAAAGACTTCATTACCCAAACAAATGTTGACAGATTTTTCCATCTGGCAGGACATCATCTGTGCCAGGGGACAAATATCAGTGCCAAGGGAATTCTGCTTGCAACACAAAAGTAAATCCTACAGAGCAAGGCCAAAACTAAAACTGTTAATTCACCTGCGAGCTCCTCTGCTTCATGTGGTGAGCGTAGGGCACAAGGAACAGTGCGTGGCTCAGTGCTTATCTGATAGTGGTTGGGATCAGTGTGAATCTGCTTTGCACCTCACCCAAGCAAATAAACCACATCTTTAATATGGAGCAAAAACTGCCCCATAGCACCTTTTCATTTCGACTCTGACGTTCGTGCAAAATCGCTCCTTCACCATTCAATTTAATGCTAATTTTGGGAGAATGTCTTTCAGATTCCTTACTGCACTTCGAGCCCATTAGGAACAAAGAATTGCTTTGTGGGTTCACCATACACGTTCAAGAAGCCAAAAAACTCAGATACGTGCTCTGCAAGCATGGTAAAGATGCATTCTGTGCAGCTGTCCTGCTCATTTACCATGAGATTACACTCAAATATATCCTGACATTGGCCGTGATAGGAAATTATTTGTACTTCTGACATCATCTGAATTGTCTGGCTGTGCTGCTGCCTGAAAAACACATCTGTGTGAACGTCACCAACCTAATAATTCTTGTTTTAGTGATGTTACATTTTGACTCATCAGAACTCTTGTCTGATCGCTTCGAAAGGTTACAACTGTCTGCTCTGATATGCAAAAGCTCTCTTCTATTTTATCATTTCACCTCTGTGTTTGCATTAATGATAACTTCCATGTGCTGCAAGACGTGGTGCTTGACAGACAAATTGCAATCCCACGCTGTGACCCCATTCAGTCTCATCCTCCTGAACGTCTCAGCGCTGTTACTTCTACCCAAGGATGAGTCATTCATAAGGAGAGAAAAAATATGCAAAATATTGTAAAAGGCTTCGAGCAGAACTGTCTGAATTCTCACTCAGATGGCTTAATTTCTTCCCACGAATCCCTGTCCAAACTCTGTTCAACTTCTGTCTCTTTCGTGCTGGGTGTTGATGCCAACCTCTCCGTGGTAAAACTCTCTGTGGATGTCATTACTCTGTAAATTCTCTCTGTTATAAAATCCCTGCCCCTGGGAGCTGTGGGAGCAGCCTCACATTGCAGGCAGTGCTTGATCCCTCCAAGCCAGAGCGGAGATTTGTCAGAGCAAACGACCGCATGACTTGATTCTCCTGCTCCCAACATGAAGTGCTCCCAGCAGCTCTGCAAAGACAGTAACATTTGTGCAGTGAAGGCTGAAATGGAGAAGGGAGCCGAGCACAGGGCTGAGGTCTCCAGCTCCGAGCAGATGCTGGAGAACAGAATGGGATCAAAGAATGCACTGCGGACACAGGGCCTGAGCAGCTCTGTGGCACACGCAGCTACTGCTGCCCTGTCACCCCACAGCATCCCATCCCATCCATGGGCGAGGATAGGAGGCAGCAGGGGAATCACAGAACTGCAGGGCTTGGAAGGGAACTTCAGAGATCATTGAGTCCAACCCCCTGCCCAAGCAGCTCCCTACATCAGGTCGGCACCCAGATGAGGTCAGAATATCCCCACAGAAGGAGACCCCACCACCTCCCTGGGCAGCCCATCCCAGTGCTCCGTCATCACCCTCACCCTGAAGTTCTTTCACATGTTGGTGCACAACTTCCCACGCTCCACTTTGAGCCCATTTCCCCTCGTCCCCAGACAAGAACCTGCCCACGTCCCTTTGCCTCCCACCCTTCAGATATTTATAAACACCAACAACCTCCCCAAAATTAGAAACCCCCAAATTAGGAATTAGGAAGAAACTCCGAGCCACAACACGGGGCGTTGCACTCCCGAGCTTTGCGTGCGCTTCATTCAGCCGCTCCGCCCGCAGCCGGGCTCTGCAGCAGGTGCCATTTATGGGCAGCGCCCGCTGGGTGCCATAGGAGCCCGTGCTCAGGCCCCGCACCCAGCCGGGCCTTGCGGCTCCCCGCATCTCCCTGCGGATGCCCTGGGAGGGGGGGGGAGGGGGCGGGTCGGCCCCTCCCGCTGCTCTCAGCCCCACGCAGCCCCTCCTGGGCCGCCCGCTCCCGGCCCGGCGCACTCACGCGTTCCCCACGTGGATGCGCGGCACCACCTCGTTGCTGTGCGCGCTCGGCAGGCTGTAGCAACCGCTGCCGTTCGCAAGGAGGTCGTTCAGTTCCTCAACCGAGATTCGATAATCGGACATGGCCGGATCCGGACGGTCGCAAAGCTCCGTTAGCTCCGCCGCTCTGCACGGATCGCCCCGCCCCGCCCGGCACCGCCGAGAGAGGGGCGGAGTTGGAGCGGATGGTCCGGCATAGCGGGCAGGCAGGGCGTTGCGTGGGGATATGGACGGAACCGGCATCACCGTGAAGCTGATCCTGATCGGAGACAGCGCCGTGGGGAAATCCAGGTGGGATCGGACCGGGACCGGGCGGGGCGAGCAGCTCCGCGCTGTGCGCCGCAGTGCTGAGCGGGGTTTGTGTTCGTGCAGCCTTCTGCTGAGGTTCGCTGAGGGATCCTTCGAGCCGAGCATGAAACCGACCATATGTGAGCCGGGGGGCGGGG